TTCGGTTTTTCGCGTTTTTTTCTCCTTTTTCGTTTTGGAATCGATTTTTTGGCATCCTACTTCATCAACAACTCTACTAGAAGGGTTTAGATGTCTCATACATGTTCCTTATAAATATCAGTCTATTTTATACAATTTAATGGTGTGTGAGAATAATGTGAGAAAAGAAATTACTAGAATTTTAAGATCAATTGTATATTTCTCCATTATTATTGGTGCACTAAAACTCATAATTCTTATGCCATATTTTCTTGTCTTAGTTTATTCTTTTGCTTGTGATCAAATACTTCATTATTGTGACATAAAATTTCAACATCTCAATCTGGTGGTTGATTACATACCAAGTGGTATCGAGCGATACGTGATACTTGAATTTCGAATAATTGGTATCAAAGATTTTGGGTATAATTAACACAATATAGAGCTTGTTTTAGCCCCCATTTTTAGCTAAAACTGCAGTTTAATTTGACTGTTTGAGTTTTGATTAATGCAATTTTCAGTGTGTGTATTAATTATTTCTCATTGTCACAATTAAATTTGTTACTAGCAAGATTTTTCCTGATGTCGAAGGGGAAATCGTCATGAAATTAAGATAGGTATATGTGTTGGGCTGCGGATTAAAGCATTCGTTATTTATCAGACATTTTTCCATTTTTCGTTGAAGAAACTTTTGAGATTTTTCTTGCAATATGTCATATGTCCATTATGTATTACTTTAGGATAATTGAATTGTTTCACAATTCAAAGAGTTAGTATCTGCAATTTAATCAAAATTGCTGCCATTACACAACACCTAATGAAACCAAACTTGAGAATATGCATACAGTTCTATGTACAAACATTTACATATATATACATACACAAAGCATGTGAAAATATCTGCAGGACCATTGATGCTTATTCGTCGTGATCTTCGGGTTTATTCTTGATCGGTTTCCGGTAGGTCTCCTCCATTTTCTTGGCCATCACATAACCAGTTTTCACCATTTTCTTGACACCGGGTACATTATAATTCTGTGCTATGTATACCCCAAAAAATGTGCCCGCCATGAATGTAAAGCTTCTTCTGATTATAGCCATTTTCTTGGAATGGATTCTGGGTACCAGGTCAAAGACAAAGAGAAGAATGTTTATTTTTTGAAGATTAAAGGTGAATAATTTGAATGGTGAATATATATATAGTACTTGGATGGTGTATAAAGATGTTATTTTCAAGGCTTTTCTTGCACAAGGCTCATAACATAACCCCTTGTTCAAGGGTCTACTCCCATTTATTGTTTGGGCAACACGAAATAAATAAATTAATTAATGTTGCATAATCTTTCAAGAAAATACTTGAATTGGATTTTTTATTTTTATTTTCCTATTTGAGTTAGATAAGATTTTAACAAGTCAAAATCAATTGAAAATATAAACTTGGTGTGGCTTAACAAGGATAAATCTTTCTAGTACCACAATGAAGAATACAAATGAGCACCAAAAAATCGACCTCAAAACCCTCACAAAATAATTCTACCAAGCGAGACCAACAAAAATTGTGTAAATGAATCTTGGCTTAAAATTAGGAATGACAACGGAGCAAGTTTAGCTCGAAAACCTATTCCCGTCCCCGCCAAAGATTACAATAGATTTAGTTGGAGAAGATTAAGAATTCGTTCGACGAAATTTATAAATAATCGAATTTTATTTTTAACCACACATTGTAATTAACATATAAATACTATTCACTCATTTAAAATTCATTTTTATCTATTTATAAATTAAATTATTTATGAATTCTTCCCAAATAGAGGCCTAGTTTACGAATTCGTGTTATATTTATTTAATTATGACCTGGTATACATGAATGGATGAGGAAATGACAATAGTCATTCTTTACAATTTTCTCACCAACTACTTGTTAAAATGTTACAATTTAAGATATTGATCCTTCGCGAACTCTGTCATTTTGATTTACAAACTATGAAATAAGTTTTTTCCCTTATTGACACTATGCTTGGACAAAATAATCGTGAACCCTCGTCGAACACAATCGACTAAATTGAGTTCACGGTTTGTCGATTCGATTGTGGGTTGGGATTTCCCAAATTGAAACCTGGATTTTAATGGTCGAATTTATTATTTTAAAAAATTGAATTTAAAGAGGTCTATTATGAATCTTAACGGTTCGAATTTTGGGTTGAATTTTACTCAATCCGAATGATCGATTTTGTGGTCGGATTATAACAAAAACTGTGCCCAACCCTGCTTGACACATTGAATTGATGTATTCTGAAAATCTTTTGCTATGTTATTGGTGTGCTGTTGCAGGCATCCAAAAATAATCCTTAAATCTCTAAAACTAATGTAGTAGTGGAAATAAGGGTCGATCCCACAAAAAGTGTGTAATTCAATATTTTATGCTTCGTACAATGATTGGAGGATTTTTGTATGCAAACAATTGTAAATAGCGTAATCAATAACAATGAAAATTAAATTATCGAAAATAATCAAAAGATTAATCTTGTCTAAGTCCATATCCACCGTCGGAAATTCACAATTGATTACAGATGCAAGGATAATTCAATTCATATTTTGAATATTCATTGTTGGAATTATTTTCCTCTCTCTCTCCTTAATTTTAGTTAGTTAGAAACCATCGTTCTAATTAACCATAATTATTAAAAAACCCAATACCAGCGCTTAAAATTCAATTTAATAATAGTTTTATACAATAGAGAAATTGATGAACTAGATAACACAAACACCAGCGGTTGCATTCAATCTATTTAAACATTCTTCTTAAGATTCAATAACCTCTATCGCAGAAAATCGTCAAATCCTAGTGCTTCACAAGTTAAAGGGATCAAATAATTACGGATTTGATATTTAACTTAGCGGTGGATTGTAACGAATGACAAACTAGTAGGCCTACTAACAATTAAACATAACAATCATATAAATAAGTACAGAAGAATATTCAATACGCAAAATAAAAATTAAACAATAAGAAAAACTACTTAGATCTCACAATACGTGGTTCCGAGATTTCAATTTTCTTCGACCAAGTGTAAAAGTTTAGTTACAATTCATGAATCTAAGAGAGAAATAATGAAGAATGGAGTTTGGAGGCGTTCTCTACGTTCTCCTCATATCCTAGGGTTTTAAAATATGTATTTATAGTTGTTTCCATAGGTAGTTGACTTAAATTCGAAAACCAGAATTTTGTGTCGGAAGTCTTCTATGTGACCGCATAGTATAAAGTCATGCTGTCGCATAGAATAAATAAATTCAACCCTGAAACTCTCGGTAATGGTCTATCCGGTCGCAAGAAATTACCACTATGCGACAGTATAGTGTTAGCAATTTCTCTGTCGGATAGCTTTTAGTATTTTGGTCATATCTTCNAGTTGACTCTCAAATCTTTTTCGTTTGGTTTGACACAACTTTTTTGTATTTGCACGCTAATCCTTGAACTTTCACTTCCTTTCACTTTGGTCCATTTTCACCTATTTCTTTCAAATTACGCCATATCCATCGAATTATCACCTAAACCAAAATATGAGAACACCAAGTACATTTAGGATAAAATAGTCATATGAGCGCATTAAATAAAAATGTAAAATGTGTATTTTACATTCCTATCATTTATTCTAATATTTATTTTCTCAACATAATAGAGAATAAAGTTTCAAATATATCAGGGCCAAAATATTTGAATTTATTTCCCTAACTGTATTCTTATACATTACACAATACGCAACGGACACTTAAAAAAAAAAAATGAGAGTAAATAGATGAAAAAGGCAAAAAGTACACGCGCACATACATATTTGAAAGCTGACATTATCACTAATTAAACAGTAGAAAATATAAAATCACTCTTCCAAGTGTTCACTTGCGGTGGCGGTGTTGGGTTTCCGGTGGGTATCCTCTGCCTCTTTGGCCTTCCAGTATTTGCATCGTGGGGTGGCGTTGGGTTTCCGATAGGTCTCCTCCGCCACCTTGGCCTTGCAAACGGCAGTTTCAACCATATTTCTGATGTTGGGTACCTCATACTTCTGTGCAATGTAGACTCCACCAATCATGCCTATCATCACTGCAAAACTGCTTCCGATTATGCCCATTTTGCGTCTGATTAATTGATTGATTTCGTGGGTTTTATGAGAATTTAGATAGTATTTTAGACAATTCTTTGAATATCTGATGAAGAATGATGGGTTGGTACTTTATCTATCGTCTTTGGTGTCGTATTGTGCAAGAATATTATTATATTTTTCTTGAGAGCTAAGGCCATCGGCTAACCCCTTCTCCAAGAGTCAACTCATTACAAATTTTTGAAATATTTTTCATTCACTGTACACACCTTGGTTTGATAATATTAAAAATAGATAAAATCGTTATTGTCTCGTACTATGTATCGAACATGACATAAACATTATAATATAATTATTCAATCGTCGTTTCAAACTACACGTACGAAAGACGAGTCTAAGTGTGTATAAATATAAATATCTCTATAATTGAATATAGAAATTATTATTGCAAAAATAACTCAACAAAACAAGGTCTAACACGACTAGGGATGGCAAAAAAATGCGTAAAAACTAAAATAAACAAAAAGGCAGAGACAGAATATGTCATTATTTGCACAAACCGCAATGGGTGACCCATTGTCCATACCAATCACCAATTCATAAAAATCTAGCTTCAACACTTATCCAATCCATGTCAAAAATTGGCCACTGATTTTACGTTTCTCTGCTCTATAAAACACCAAACAAGCAAATAGTCATAGGGCGTACAATTCATTTACCGAGTAAGAAAATGTTTGGCTCAAAGGTTATTTCTCTTCTAATTTCACTAAATATCATATTTTTCACTAGTGTCTCCTCCCTCAACATTCCATGCCCTCCGGCTACTCCGAAGAAGTGCCCAAAAGATACCCTAAAGTTGGGTGTTTGTAGTGACTGGTTAGGGCTGGTTCACGAGGAGATTGGAGCAAAACCTAGCAGCAAATGTTGTGCATTGTTGGAGGGTCTGGCCAATCTTGAAGCTGCATTGTGTTTATGTACCGCAATAAAGGCAAATTTATTAGGCATTGTAAACTTAGAAATACCAGTTGCCATAAGTTTTGTTATCGATTCTTGTGGAAAGAAAGTTCCTAAAGGCTTTGTGTGCGAATAGGTTTGTTATCTACATATCTTCTTGCAACAATTCAATGTACTTCATATTATAATTAATTTGCCAGTAATTGTAATAGTGTTGAAAATTTCTGTGTTAATTGTCAGTTGTAAGTTGTTCAAATCATAAAGACGTTCTAATCTTGACAGAAGTGGCTCATTTGCCTCTGCCTGTTTTGAATCTATGATGGAACTAATTACAACAGCAAAGCTTCAAGTTCTTTCGAGGGAGAGAGAAAATTCTGAGAAAGAGGTAAATAAAGCACCAATTAAGAAGAATGTGGTTTGGAACAAATAAGCCAACTGCCCACAATTACTCAAATAATCTTAGCCTCCAATGAAAATGGGTAAAATTCTATCTTGCCAAACCTGAGCGCTAACTTAGTGGTTGAGGCACCACAGGGTTTATATCATGCGAGAAACGTCTCTCTCCTAGTTGGCCCCAACTGTTTCCAACATCCCGCCAAACTCTTATTCCTCCACCACCAACTTTCCACGTACAAAATCCAAACTGAATCATTGAAACTGTCAAGCTTTCATCTTACATAAAACACCATAATAGGTCAAAAAAATCCAATTCAATTGGACTAACACAAAAATTCCAAAGGAAACAAGTACATTGTCAGCTCTAAGTACAAAGAAATAAATACACTAGTAACTAGTATAACTCCAGAAAAAAATTTCATTGGAACCACCTCTTGAGCTGCTTGGAGCCTTGCTTCTTGTCATCAGTTGGATTTGTATTGTTATGCGTAAATTTGGATCTATATTGTTCGATCAACATGTCTAGTTTATCCACTACATCTCTTCCCAATGGATCATTATTCTTTTTACCTCTTTTACTTGGATTATTACCTTCTTTGGGTTGTTTAATTAGATCCTGGACCTTTCTTCTTTTTCTTTTTAAGTTTGCGTCATCCACCAGTTGTTGCTTATGGGTACTTACCACTGGTAATGCTTCCCCTCCATCGGGCTTCCTTCTATTCTGCTGGTTCTCTACCTGCCGCTTTGAGCCTTTTAAGGTTTTCTCTAGTAATGTACCATGTATCCTACTTCGCGGAGAACCTTTCTGCTTGTTGGTAGCCCCGCCTACTTCAGTTGTAGTTACTTCAATAGCTTTGTTCTCCGATTCACCTCCCTTCTTACTACCAAAATTCTTTAACGTGTTATCCACTCTTGGTTTCCGCTTTCTGGGATTCTTGTTTGCAAGGGAATCCCCGGTGTTTACAGGGTCATTTTGCTGCAAATCTCCAACATAATCAAGAGAAGCCACCTTCTGAGCTTGAAGTTTTTCTTTACGAAGCTTCAGGGTCTGGACATTATCTAAAGCAAACTCCACAATCGGGCGAAGCTCAGAACCAAAAGTATCTGCAAATCATCGAACCAGCACATTCTATTAAATTGAATAATTGCATCGACAAAACACGGTACAAAATTCTTGGCTTTTGTACTAAAGGAATATTATGAAAGTAAACCTTCCACCAGGATTTACTTTGGAGCAGCATATGCTTACAATTTCTGATAAGAGAGAACGTGGAGTATATATTTAGGGTAGAAACCTTAACCTGGATTATTGTTAAGAACTCTCAGGGCCACAAGTGCATGTTGATGCTCCGTGAACTCTACAAAGGCTACTCCACGTGGACGACTTTTTTCGCCTTCCTTTCCTTTCTTATCCTTTAATAATTTCAACTGCACATGCATCATAATGTTTTAGAAAATATAGAAATGTCGAAGGAAAAAATATATACATCCATTAGAAAAGCATATCTGACCTGCCGAATGGTGGGTTTTTGCTTTGTAGCTCGAGAAGTAACTGCATCTATACAAAGTTTCTTGAGACTATTTTCTTTCATCAACTTTGGCACATTGTATATGATCAATCTTGTCTTTGATACATGAAAGTTTGGAGATTGAAGCTTAGTCATCTTTTCATTGTGCAACCTGTGGAATAGTTTGACAGAATAATCATGCAAGAATTCAAAAACTTCAAGAAAGAGCATCATATTATTGAAGCACGCACAGATGTATGGACATAGGCAACATCGACCGCAATAATCATGAGAATCTCTTAATACCATATTTGTTTTCAAGAAGGTTCTGCATATTGATTCAGTTCTTCTCAAACTAGAATGTTTTTTACAGTTTGCAATCTGCAATTCCAGAAACTCGACTGAATTCACCAACAAAAAGTAGGGAACCTTCCAATGATTTCAGGTGAAAGAATCAAAGTGGCACTGTCAATCAAAATGGTTGTGAATGTGGCACCATTGGTCATGCTCACATTTCAAAAATTGCAAGCACCATTTTTGTAACAAACCACATTGGAAACACAACAATCCCACCAGGGGCAGAGCAAGGATTTTGGTTCAGTGGGGCAAGAAGACTTAAAACGGAAAAAAAAAAAAAAAGGAAAGGAAAGAAAAATTTAAACAAGTTAAGCACCATTTTTGTAACAAACCACATTGGAAACACAACAATCCCACCAGGGGCAGAGCAAGGATTTTGGTTCAGTGGGGCAAGAAGACTTAAAACGGAAAAAAAAAAAAAAAAAGGAAAGGAAAGAAAAATTTAAACAAGTTACTAACAATAACATTAAAAATGTAATAATATATTTTACAATTATTCCCTACAGCTTTTCAAACGGCATTTAATAACCTCAGATCTTGATTCATTCCCCAAAAATAAACAAATCATTACTTCTGCAGTAGCAATAAGACAAGCTCTTTTTCGAGGTTGCCTTTTCTTGCTAGTTTCCAGCAAGAATGGCACTGCAGTAAGTTGGACAGATTTAGCACTGACATTCATGCCTGATGCTTATATTCTTGGTTGAAATGTATTTAGCTCGGTGATAGTGATGTCATGAAAAAGAAGGGACACAAAAATAAATACAGAGAGCAAAGGAAGGAAGCTAGCTTGAACTTGGATGAATGGAGCTTATAGCCTACACTTTATATTTGCTCGAGTCACTAAGAAAAATTCTCTCAATTTCTTCTTATAAACCAAACACGATATGCATAAACAATCAATCACTTGAAGAAAGCATCAGAAAATAAAAACTAATAAATCAGAATTCAAGAACGCTAATTGTGATTCGTGAAAGTAGAATTCAGAAATTCAAGAACACTAATAAATAGAACTCAAGAAATCTCATCAAGAACACTAATTTGTAAAAGTAGAATTCAAGAATAATATGTTCTCTTAAAGTTAAGAATGCTCATCAGCAGTACAATTATGTTCCTCATCTTTAGTCTTGATTTGTAGATGAGCAAATCTTTAGCCTAGACATCTAGAGAAGTCCAAGTGCCCAATAAGGATGAAATAATTTCTATATCCTGAAGTGTGAGAGAATGGAAGGATTTTTGCATTATAGAGGTTAAATAAATAGAACTTAAATTGGAGTCCAAGATTCTATTCACATTTATCTAATCACTGTTCTTTAAGCCATTCAATTCAGCTTAGCAAACCATCTTTGAACCAAAAGATAACGAGCAGAAAGCCTCTGGTAGCAGGGAGCCTAAACCACTCATCCAAGTTTAACGCGCACAAATGATGAAGTCTAAGACAGAAAAACAAAATATGAGCAAGTAAAATTACAAAGTTCTGCTTCCATAGTGTAAGAGTGTGGACTGTTGAGTGCGGCTTCAGCTGGAACGTTGCCAGAATACCAATTAGAAACTAGGGTTAAATAATTGGGAATTTGGGATTGATTAGGAATTTAGGCTCAAGTGTTGTTTGGGCTGGGTTTCAAAGACATGGGCTGGGATTAGGAACTTAGGAGATAGAGGCCTGAATTTCAATTTTCTAAGAAAACCGAAATACCCAGTGGGGCAGGTGCCCCCACTGGGCCTGTCATAGCTCCGCCCTTGAATCCCACAAATGACAAGTCAAGGTCTCAAGGAACACAATCAAGAACCTTTCCACTAAAATAAGAATTTCAGGCCACCAAGATGGTCTCTTACGACTGGCAAAGGCAAGCTTTTGTCACTCAATTATGCTGCTACTAAAAGAAAGAATTTCATTTACTTGTTGCGCTTTGACATGTCACTTGCTGAAACTCCTTCCGCAGCAGGTGTCCCTTCCATGATAAGACCCTCCTGTTAAGAAATGACCAACACGAATTCAATTATAAGTTGTAGATATGTGACAGCAAAATCAGCAGAAACATTATTAAATCACTTGACAAGCAGATGGCATGTATCCATTTTTTCAAGGATTGAAGAGAAAAGAACGGACTTGTTAACCAACCTTTGCCAGGTAAAGATTGCGGTGGTCATGACCCTCTTTTTGGGCCTTGTCCTGTGCCTTATCCTGAGCTGTTTTCTTGTCCAAAGTCCTAAGAACTTTCAGCTGTCTTCCTTTTAGAAAGATACCTAAACCAGTTACAGCATTAGCTGCTGAAAATGCAGCATTAGCAGCATCTGTTGTTTTAAACTTGAGAAATCCAGTCCCCCTGGGTCGCCTGCAGAAGTGTAGCCAGATATTCACAAAAGAACAATGATAAATAAAAAGATCTTGAAGCAGATTTAGTCAAATCCTTGTCCTTACTTGGTCACTTGATGAAGAACAGGAAAAAAGGACTGCACTTCACCAAACGCAGAGAAACGTTGTTTCACTTCTTCATTGTCAATGTCAAAAGGAAGATTGGTTATGAAAACAGTGCTGTGCAAGTCGTCCTTTGCTTCAGCCGGACTAATTTGTTCACTTCCCAAAGCATTCACTTGTTCTACTGCATGGGAACTGGATGCATCAACTGATTTATCTTGCAATTGAACCATTTCATTACCCTTTTTCCCCTCAGATGACTCTGGGTCATCATTGCCAGAAGTGGCTGCATTTCTAGAAGATGATGAAATGAACTTCTTGAGTACGTTTCTTGCAACTTCTGCTTCCACATCAAAATCAACTTCATTATCATCATCTTCAACTGAATCCATCTCGTCAGCTGCATCATCAACACTATGAGATTGTGATTTTTTTGTGACTTCCAAATCATCATCCTCC